CTCTGCTCTCTCCCCCCCCCCCCCCCACTACCTGGAACTGCTCGATGGCCTTGAGGGGCTCCGTGCAATTGGTCAGCGTCTCTTTCAGATCCTCCCCGTTGGCCACCCCGAGCTCTTGCAAGCCGGCGAACATGGTGCGAGACCCGCCTTTCGGGAGGGGGGGCCGTCTGTCCCCGGGCGGGCGGGGGTGCAACGCCTTAACCGGTCCCCCATAGCGGCGTGGTGCGCCATGCTAAGTCCCCCGCCCGGAAACCGAGTCCCCGGCACTGAAGGTTCCGCTCTGGGCAGCACAGCCTTACTAGAATGAGATCAGGCCCACCGAATGAATGAATTACTGTATATAGGACTGGTGATGGACTACATAGCCCAGTTCGTCTAGTCTCGAGCCTTTGAAAGGAATTTTGAGCAAGATGCCTAGAGGCTGTCTATAACCAGGACAATGACTGACTGACTGACTGACTGACTCATTCATTCATTCATTCATTCCAGAGTCGTAATACTATATAATAATAATAATAGTAATAATAATAGTAATAGTAATAGTAATAGTAATAGTAATAGTAATAATAAAGGAGTTATTACATTAAATAATTAAAACTTCAAGATGGGGAGGAAAAATGAAAGATACACCACCAAGAAAAAAAAAGGAGAAAGCTGATTGTACACTTGTTATTATGTACTGCTGATTGGTTCCTGACTCGTCTCAAGCCTATGAATTAAAAACCTCCAGAAGGTCCTGCCATTAACTCTGGTTTTGCAAACTCAAGGCGGAGGCTTCCTGGCTTGAGTCAACCCGTCTCATCTCCAATCTTCCTCTTCTCCCACTGCTTTTCACTTCTGTTAAGATCACTAGACTGTTTTGGACCAGCCGTGCACTACTTCAATAGCAGGATCTCAGTTCTTTGCTAGATCCTACCCGGTGGGATACACATTGCATACAGGTCTACTGGTGTTATTCTCTCGAGTTCTCATGATACACGCGCAGTAACACAGCCGCATCAAATGCCAAACGTGATGGCTGGGACTATATCGCAACTCGTAGAAGCATCTGTTTATGGACTCCTAGAATCCATTGTTAGCTGCATTGTCTGGGTGCTGACATCGAAAAAAATGAAACTTTCAGCAGTACGCAACCACAAAACCCACAAAATTGAATAGCTGCATCATTCAGCAGTACGCAACCACAAAACCCACAACATTGAATAGCTGCGTCACTGACGTGGACTTGTCCATGAAAGCTCACATCAACAAATATAAAAATTAGTCTTTAAGGTGCCCCCACATTTTTGTCTTTTTTTAAAAAAGCTTTTTTAAAATTTTTGTTTCCACCTATAATGTATATTTATGTACTGTAATAGGTTCACATGTTACCCTTCTTTTAGAACATCTGGGGACCCAGGGTTGGGGAGCACTACCCTAAAGCATCAAGGACTCAAAAAGCTCACCCTAAAGTGGAGGAGGGGAGGAAAAAAAAGGTGTTGGTTTCACGCTGTCATCCATGGAGGGCTATGAGGTGGGTCAAGCCGAGAGCCGGCCCTTCCCTTATAAGATCCACAAGGCTGCTGTCAATGACAGGAAAATAATACCTTTTCCCCTTCAGTAATAAAAACTTCGTGAAGCCCAAAGTGAACTCAAGTGAGGGACATCAGGAGCTCCGCCCGCAGGGTGCAGTAATGGACGTTGCGCGTCCGCAGGAAGAGCGTCCGGAGGAACTGGAGCACCATGTCGTAAAGCTTCACGTTCTTGCCAATCATCTGGGTGAGCTTCTGGACCACCTTTGCCGGCGGAAGAGAAGGAAGTGCGGGGTCAGAGCCCTGCCAACAGGGGACCACCGCATGGCACAGAGTGCATCTTGCCTCAAGACAGAATGCTTTGCACTTCTGCCACCCAAAGTTTATCATAGAATCAAAGGGAAATCTTGCTAATCAGCGAGAGCGTCAGAACAAGTATGAACACTTAATAAAAATGAAATCACAGGAAAATATTAAAGGAATGGTTTTGTTTTCAGTGGGTTTTTTGAACCCAGATCCCGGCCCTTCCACCACGCCACCTTCCTAGGGATTAAAACCTCATTCCCCACATTCGATCCCCGCATGTGATCACGGACATGTCCCGTGCTCTTTACCTCTCCCTGGCGCCTCGTCTTGGGCGTCGGGCTGAAGAAATTGTGCAGGACCGAGAGGTCGGAGCTGAAGAGGGCGTTCTCCTTCTCCAGAATGTACTGCTTCAACAGCGGAGAGACCTCGTCACCAAAAAGGGCCTGGTTGTCCTGCCAGATCTGGCGCTTCACCTCCACGGCGCATGCCTTGTACAGCTCTTTGTCAGCCATCACCAGCTTCAGCTTCTTTTCGGGGACCTGGGCCCAAAAGCAAGGGGGACTGGGTGGGTCGGTCTCCCAATCACACCCTTTCTAAAGCATGGGGCATTTTGACACAATACAGTGGTGCCTCGCTTAACGGTGATAATCAGTTCCAGGAAAATCGCCGTTAAGCGAAAACATCGTAAAGCGAAAATAAAAACCCCACTAAAACAAGGACCCAAGGCGTCCGTAATCAATGTCTCACAAAGATGTGAAATTCACTCGGTGACTTTAGGACAATATCTGTCCGTGGCAGCCTTCCTCGCAGGAATGTTGTACAAAGTATGGAGGAAGAAAGCCATATATTCTTCCTTGATCTTATTGGAGGAAAGGTAAATATAAAATAGGTTCTGATAAATCGTGCAGTCAATGGCGTGTGAAACAAACAGCAGAGCCGGTCAGCGTGAATTGCAAACAGATACGAAATACAGTATTTTATGAAATGGTGGATGCCTGTGGCAGAGAAATATCCTCCAGAACCATCAAGAGATGCCCTCAAATCTCTGTGTCTGTCTTTCATATCATGGATTGCACAAGACAGACGGTGGGGCCGCCACATCGTGCGCAGAATGCACCCGGACCAGTGGCCTAGAACAAGGTGGAAGAGGAGGAGGATGACACAGATGAGAGAAACGCATTTCACACCCCCTTGTGTGCACAATGATCCAGAGAGCTTCTTGATGCGCCGGGGAAGGGAAGACACTTTAAAAGCAAAAGAAAGTCTTCCTGGAGAGTCTGCTTAACCCGTCATTCCTGCCGAGCAGGATTCAACTTCATTGTGTATAACCAATTCTCTCCAACGCCTCCCCGCGAAAATCGTTTCCCCAAATTGGAAACGCTGATAAATATTTCATGGCGAAATCCGCCCATTAGGCCGGGGACTGCGACACAATAGATCACCCTTCCCCGTGGCCACCCCCTCCTCTCTTTCGCCCCAGAGGGCCCGACGTTTTTGGATTGATGAGTGCTCCCGCTGAACGAGACGGCTGCGCATCTCGGCTCATCTGGAAATATGGGAGGGGGAGGAAAGAGGCCGCCCTTGACCCAGTCTCTCTCGGCCCCCCCATTCCTGATGTGATTGGCCATTCCTTTGTCCTTCTCTGGAAGCAACACACAAAAAAAGGCATGAAAAAGAAGCAGTGATCTGTTGTTTTCTATAATATATCCACGTAAATATTATGCGAATGACAAAAGGGGAAGGCCGGGTCCCCCCTTCCCTAAGTTGTCTACATGCCCTCTTTTACAATCCTCCTTTCTGGGGCATCCTTTCTGGGAGTCATGTCCAAGGTGTATTTAAAGGACTTGAAGGAGAGAGATCAAGGATCTCCAAGCTGCCCACTGGGGCAGCCGACTTAACCACAGGGACACACAAGTCGCTCGATCACAATCTTCCCCATTCTGGAGACCAATCATCGCTAAGCGAAATTCTCCCATTGAGACCATCCTCAAACATCGTCATAAAGAAGATTCGTCATAATGCGGGGCAATCGTTAAGCGGGGCATGACTGTGTACCCATCCCTGGTCCATCGGCGGGCACTCCCACTAAGATCTACCAACACCGATGATGGAATGGGTGGCCAAAAACAGTCAGGTTTACCTTGGGCAGGTGTTTCATGACACACATCACCACCGGCTGGATCGAAGGCATCTTGACTAAGGGGAAGCTTTTCTCCAGAAGGTCTTCAAGCTTTTTGTACCTGGAGCGTGCAAGGAGAAAAGGTACGTTTAGCGTCTTTCCTGACTCAACGAGGCAGAGGGACAAGGGTGCAGCCCACGCACCTTTCCTCGACCTTTCCTTCCGCGGCGATGGCCGAGATCCTCTCCAGAAGCTTCTCCCTGAGCTCGTCAAACACGGACTGGTGAAACTCCAGCCTGGGGGTGCCGTGGAGGTCCAGAAAGGGCAAGGCGGATTGGAGGGTGGGCAGTAAGATGCCATTCTCCGTCTGTCAGGGTCACACACAAGAGTGGCAAGTCAGCAGAAGACAATGACTCCCCACATCTGTAAGGAGACAAGCTACTATATATATATATCTCCAGGTCCGGAGATATGCACTCTGTGCATGCTCAGGGGCACTGCTGCCTTTCCCTCCATGATCAGGCCACTTTCCCCAGCCAGTCTTG